GGGACCCTGGTACAACATGTGGGAAGAAAGCCTTGATTCTTTATTTTGGAGCCCAGCAATGGTTGAAAGGGCAGAAGATATTTGGAGATGTCTCCGGCGAGCACCCGGGAACAATTCAGAGACGTACCCCCGCACACAGATATGTACTGCTTTGGGGGGTCAAACTGCGTTTTGTTTGGTGCATGTCACACATTATAGCCACGAAAACTGCCGCAAATCAATTATTTTCAAGAAAACTTCAAACTTAACTGAAAAACTGTGACCCCCCAGATTTTTTTACATGGTCTAGAGGCACAAAGCAATTTGATTGGTCTCTCTCCGTCGGAGACGTCTCCGAATAGAGAGAGACTGCGGGTTGAAAGACACAGAGTAGGCAATGAAAAAGATGTGTTGGAAATGATCTTGCTTTTTATTTTGTACCTATGATTTTTATTCTCCATCATAATGTAATGTTATCCTATGTGTTGGTCGTTTGTGTACCCCTACTCCAGACAGAACGTGCGACAGCTGTTTGGATTTCTTCGATTTTGTCTACTTGTACTAACTCCGTTTTCTTTTAAATCTAGGGTAATACCTAGGGTGTGTGATACGAGCGAAAGTATGCACTCTGGTGACAGAAAGCAGTGTTGCATATTGGATTTTTGTATCGACTTAGATCTGGTGTTAGTGGCAAATAAAACCAGCATTGAGTGCGTCATTGATTGGTCATTGGTGGGGAAAAAATGGGTTCAGATATAATGTAGAATTGGTGGTTGGCGGGTGCTCTGGTGTGGTTTGCTTCTTCTTTCCTATCAAACATCTATCGTCCTTATTTCCCCTTCTTCTTTTTTATGTTTGTTACTTTCTTGTAACACATCTCATCTTCTGGCGCTCACTTGACTTTATGCAGTTGCAAGCGCTGTAAAACCTCTACTAAAACTAAAGTAGAACGATCGGACGATCCTTCCAAAAAACAAAACAAAAAAAACCACCAAAAAAACAACAACAACAACAAAAAACAAAGATTTTGGCTCTTATGTCTGAGGAATATAGTGAGTCCAACATTACGTACTTAGCAAACGTGATAATAAAGAAGGAGAAATTAGAAGAAGAAAAAAAGAAGAAAAAGAAGAAGAACAAGGAAAGAAAGAAAGATGATGAAGACCTGTTACAGCAGCTGCAACAACTGACCATAATACATATTACCTCAACACATGTCGTATTACAAGTTGCTATTTCATGTTCACGTGATTCATTTTTTTTCTTGGGTTTCTGCGTGCATTTGTAACAATATGTTCCTCCTAGGCTAGGTCACTGATAAACAACCTCTTGAAGAGGAAAATCCCATGGAAAAAAAAGGTTAAACTGCTATCTGTTAGATCTATATTTAGAACATGACGTACGGGTAGGGCAATTTCTGAAAAAGAACAAAAAAAAAAAGAAAAAAAAAGAAAAAAACAAAACAACAAACAACCCAAAACACACAAAAACCGCACACACACAGACACAGACACACACACACAATAACAACAAAAACAACAA